ACGGTAAAAGCCCTCTCAGCGACTCTTTCAAGCTCGGATATCGGAAAAAACGAGGCATTTCCGTTGGTAAATGTCACGGAGGTTGGTAGATGGGCAGTGCCCACATATTACCAATCAATTTGCCTCTGTCGATACAGAGGTGGAGAGCTAGCCAGGAGAAAATATCAGGCTAACTGTGCGAGCGAGCGAATACGACGGAATGAAAGAGAGAGTGACAGAAAGAAAGAGAGAGAGGGAGAGAGAGAAATATATGGGACGCTTATGTGCACGAGTACAGAGATGGCCCCTCCATCATATTTAACTGAGATAGCCAATCATCCCTGTCACTAGCGGGTGATAGATTATTTTAATCAAGTTATTTCATCCGAAACCCGATCATTCTCAACGATAGATGCTCGAGGACGTGTAGGTATGCGCAAATGTATACAGAAAAATTGAATTAATCGTTTGGAGGAAGAAAGTCACGGCTCTCTAACTCGAAAATAATCGGTGTGTGAATGTCTATTTGTGAATGTCTGTTTTTTTTTTCAGAAACATAATAGAAACATAATAAATGTCTCGTTTTATCTTGCGTTTTTTTTGCAATTTTTTTTCACAATTATTGTAAACTTTATATATCCTTACTTATATTCATTCTTTTACTCTATCTCTATTTTATTTTAGCATATTTTTGAGAAGGTGAAAAAATATCTTGTAGAGTGCTATATATGACGTATTGAATTGTTGTTGTTATATCTTGGGCTGTGCTGTGTGTGAAAAGTTTATCTCGAACTATCTTACACTTGAGTGATTTTTTTCAATAATTCGCGAACGTCGGCTAAGTATAAATTGCTAATCTCTGTATGTAGTCTTCCACTTTCTTTTTCTTCTCATGCTTCTTCGGTAATCTATTTTTTAACTCCTCCTGATGATCAATTGATCGACGGACGGCTACGTGAGTTTCCAAGTTTTTATCAAGTTTTAAGGAACTTTTGATATCTCTAAGTCCATTTGTATGAATGTCTTTCTTTATTAAAAAAATATTATTTTACTGTTAATATTTACTGTAAAATTTTTCCAGTAATGTTTTATCATAAAGTAAATCAATTGAAATAAAAGGATTAAATTAAAAATTGCAAAAGATATAATTACGAATTAATTATATGGTGATATAATATTAATTTTAATTAATTTAAATACAAATTAATTTTAATATACTAATATTTAAATTTATTGTTTGTACTTTATCAATGTTGATTAATGTGACAAAAATTTTATCAAAGTGTTTTATTATAGTTGAGTAATATTGTTAAAAATAGTGATTTATTGTAATGTATAATATACATTAGTAATAATTTATTATTTCGAATATATTTATGGAGTAAACATTCATATGGGGATTATAAAATATTATATTTACGAAAACTAACATAAAAATGCGAATTTTATGAAATTGACGTTTTATAAATTCTTAAAATTTTAGCTTTTAATATATAATTTAATATATATTTTTAATATATAATTCTATACAATTCTTGATCATTTAAACAGATATAGTCCCAGCCATTAAATGGCAAAAAATTACCACAGCACAAAGATACAGTTTTGTCTTTTAAAGATTAAACTTCAATTATAAAATAAAATAGCGATAAGCAAATGTTAGCATACAAGATGAAAATCTTACAGGCGAAATACGATTCTATCTAGTATATTTCCATATAATTTTACGTACGCATCGACCCTCCGAAAATAATCATTATTGAGTTTGATTCGAGCTTCCATTTATCTTTCAATTTCCAACATTGAATTAAACAACAAAACAGATCCCTTCCGATAGAATATTTCTCATGGATCTTATCATGACGAGATAATAAGAACAATAATTTGATTCTGAGCAGATCGATTTCGGATCTCCCGGTGATTTGTAGGTCGTTTTCACGTTCGTTTTCGCTTTTGATCCCTCCAGCTTGTTACGCAAGTGCGCAAGCTTCTTTTTGAATGAGCACCGATTCTTCTTTTGTGAAGAAGTTTGCGCAGTTTACAGAAAATACGAGTTCTCGGTCCATGGTGGGTCAAGCTTTAATCCACTCTTATTTCCTAGAATCGTTCTCCCGCAGTGCGATCTTTATGACAAAATCGTACCATACGTAAAGACATTAAATGTGCTCCCGTTGCGAAAAAGGAGAGAGAAAGCATCGACATAAAGAATGTCCCGCGAGCCGGACAATATAATATTCCCTGCGGGCTCCTAAGATACCGAGATATACAAGTTGTATTCGTTATTTCTCGACTTGAATGAATTACAGGAAAGCAAGAATTTGCACGAAGGCATTTTATAACAGGAATAACGGAAGCAAATAAGGAAAAATGAGGAAATAAAATTGAAATTGATACAAATGTCCCTATACGAAACTGACTTTCTCAAAGCAGATTTTATAGTCTGCTTTCTATTATATCGCTTTTCAACGCGTGTCGATGCGTCACGTTAAATTGCGAACTCTCAAGGTTGCAAGACACAAGGAAACAAAAAAGTCTGTTATCCTTGAGAATGAAAATAATCGTACGGCACGCTTGCGCAAGCTTTGTGGTGTTATAAAGAATCGACTAACAATACAACCGCAAGCATGACGTTGACTATTAAAATAGTCACAGCTCAGGGACAGCATCGACAAGCTGTTATAATGGACAAGCGTCGGCTTGATGCGTAAAATATCACTTCGTTCAGAGCCACCTGGGAGGCAGATTATAGTTACTTCCGTTTCGTGCAGTGTCCTTTTAAGCGCTCGCCGAAACGGCGCGGCAGCAACGGTAATTAATTAGTAATTATATCAGCGGCTGTCCCGGAAAAAGCTAGTCCGCCTGCGCGAAATGGTTGCCGTGCGTTCTCCCGACGAAACTCTCCCCGATAACTTTGCTTTTTGACCTAACTCCAATTTCCGTTAATTATGCCGTGGCTGCTTATTTTTTCCTTCTCTCTTTATCCCGTTCTCTCACCTTGTCTCTAACTTTCTTTCCTCGATTTTTTTTCTTCATTCCTTCTCTCAGTCCTCCAGGTAAAGGTCGGCGATACCTCCCACGCGTCTCTATAATATCGCTAAATAAATGTTACATTGAAAATTGAGGTCGAAAATAGGAAAAAAATTTGGACTCGGGTAAATAAGCATGTGCACTTGCTCTTGGACTGTACCGCGTAGAAAAGTTTGACAATTAAAAAAGCTTCTTATCATTTAAAAGAGCAGTGCTTAGTGTGTAATAGCAAATAGATTATTTTATCATTTTATAAAAAACATAGTTTTAAATAAATATTTTCAAGCCGATTTATTAATTAAATCTTTCTTGAAAAATAATAATAGATGCATAACATATAATCTTACTGTTAGATCTAATTATCATTAACAAAGAGAGGGAAATTCTTTGAAAGCGCAGAATAGAGCTCGTAGACATTATATTAATGTAACTGAAGACGTAATCGCGATTGGAAACAACGCAGTCATGCGATATACCTGCTATTAGACACCTATGGGGATACTCGATACGCGTTGCAGTTCTCCGCACGTAATCTATGGGAGCGGGTTGGAAATTAAGAGCCGCGATAATGGCCGAACATGTCCAGAACCAATCTGGTATCCGATAACGGGAGGAACGCGGGAGATTCTCCCGTCCACATGGCCGCATTAATACAAAACGTCAATGTCTCCTTCTCTCTCGAATATTAATAAATCCCATCTGCTGTCGTTTCCATCGACTCCGTTTTCGCAACTTCGAGACACAGTCGCGGGAGGAAGTCGGTATCTTCTTATAGCGAATTCGCAAGATTCCCCGTCTTTCCTGGTGCCCCGCCTCCGCACCCTTTCCGTCTACCCTCCGTCGATTCCCCGCTCATCTGGGATTCCGAAACACTTGGACTTATTAAATGCAAAATGCTTCCGGCAAACAATGCTTAATCGCGACGTCGCTCCTCGTTGTAATCCTCGTTCCTACAGATGCAGACGTGGAGAAAGAGGGAGAGAGAAAAAGAGAAAGAGAGGGGAGAGGGAGGGAAGTCCAAGAAGGATGAACGATCGCGCGACGAGGAAGGAGAATCAGTTTCTCTCTCGCTCGCTCATGTTTTCACGATAATTCGATTTCTCTAAGGAGATTCTCCATTTTTACAACTTCGTTTGAGCTCGCGGCGAACTCCGTTGCCAGGGGAATCCGAAATATTCGCGGAATCTCGGATTTACGCTCGCGGCCCATGAAGAATCAGGCGGTAAAGACGTCCATCCGGAGGAGAAAGATTCTTTCGCAGTGACGAAGCAACATCCCAATGATCGTTTACCAACGAATCTCTATTTTGATTATTCAAAAGTCTGAAAAAAATGGCGTTTTCCTTCTGCTATCGAATCGTATGGCACAGAAAATATTTGAAGAAAATGTTATTTTATAATTATATTTTTCTGTGCTCTATTTTTCTCAGACATTGTATTTTGGGATTTGCAGCGAAAGATTTCCCATTACGTTCGATACGAAGCTCATATTTTATAATTGTATATAATCTACAGATAAATACAGCCAGTTGCAATCAATTTACGGTTCGGATCATCGTGAAATAGAGAACAGGTTGTACGGCTATCTTTCCATCGATGTAACCCTAGTATTTTCTTTTTTCGATTCGAAGAGAAACACGGACTTTACAGTTTGCGCAATCGCCACGTTTCGTGGAGAAAATAATCCTGCGGGTCTCGACATTTTGTGCGGTTCGTTTCCAAGAGAATGGAAGAAATGGAAAGAAACACCAGTTACAATTGTTTCATTACGTTCCTCTCTTAGCCGGGTTGTTGAAGAACGGTAACCCTGACGCGTACAAGCCCGCCGGCTGAAAAATATCGCAGCACACGATGTTTTGTACGAATTGTTTTGCGTTTCCGGCGCGCACAGTTTCAGATCCTCAGATTAAAATCTGAAAACTTGTCGACCGGGCGAGTATATCGCCCGCAGGCAGCGGTTCAACCCCTTCTTTCTAACTGTTCCTCCCGTTTCAGGCTGCACGTTCCCGGAGGAATGGTACGGCCGGTGGTTCCAGTCTGGGAACACGGATCTGGTGACCGTCAACGGCTCCGAAATCACCAGCAAGGGCATCTGCATAGAGAAAAATGGCGACAAGTTTCTCGTTCACGACGTGTGAGTATCCCTCGTTTGAATTGCAAGTGAAGTTTGACCGATCGAACGATATGAAACGATAGTATAGTATTCTATCCTTTTACCTCCCATCGTATCTCCCTCCCATTTCTCCTCCACCTTACGAATCAACGCCCGGTGCTCCGGTCGCTCCCGCGCGCGCTCCCTTCTTTCCAGCTTTTATTAATTAACTGCCCTCCGACAAAGCGCTCGAGGCGACGTGCCAGCCGAGAGATAGATAGAGATAGAGATAGATAGGTAGATAGATAGAGAGGGAGAGAGAGAGCACTCACCGTATAAAACGTTTCTCCTGAAATTCCATCCGTGAAACCGGAGCAGGGGTGGCTTTGAGATCGAAGAGAACGAGCGATCCGGCAGCGCACGCGTGCTCTCGTATATCGATATATGTTACCTTTACAAGTCCACTGGCGCATTTGCCGCACGTGTGTAGTGATGGGATTTACGACAAATGCGTAGTCGACGAATGTACACGAACACGTATGACTAAATGTTAAATAGAAACCGCTCGCGAACGAGCCCCGGGGCGAACCGGCCTCGGTTTTCCATCCCATGGTCTACCGCGCGAAAAAGCACTGCTTTTCAGTTCGTTATAAAAGCCACGTGTAATTTATAATTACGATCGCTATAGCGCGCTAACTATCGCGTGCGGTAGTTACTTCCACAGTTCCTCTCAGAGACTTTATACGGCTTATTTCGTGAAAAGTCGTTCGTAAGACATAAAATGACATTTTATATCACATTGTACAGTATTACATTTTATATGTTACTTTATGAAATATTCAACTAGAGGTTAATAATCTGAGAAATCGAATCGCATGAAATATAATTATCAGGTCCCTTATTAACATTAGAAAGGTAAAATTTAATTAAAAGAGAAGAGAAATATGAATTTTTTCTTGTAGCCTTGATATAAAATTAACGTATGAATTATTCAAATATTTTTCGACATTTTCGAAAAAACCTTTCAGTTGTATATAACGAGATTATATCTCATATCGCCATGTTTCTCCGACGCGAATCAACAGTGTTGGAAAATAATTGAAACGACGAGTCCTCCGGTCACGTTATGGAAAAGAAAACATTTTTCATTGTCCCGATCGTGTGCTTTTCCGTAACCAGAATTTTCCCTATATTTCTATTTGCACATTTTCTGCAAAATTCGCACGTCGCATGTACGTTTATATATATATATACATATATATGTATATGTACAGATCTACATGTTATATTTCGAGATAGACCGTACCATCTGTCTGTATACTTTCGCCGTAGTTTCTAGTCAAACACGATCTTTTATCCCGCGTTAGAATTACAGAAACGATATCGCGGCCGATCGAATGAGAGTAAAGTTCCGGGGTGAATCGTTCGCGACTGAGAAGCACTCGGAATCGGTTCGTTCTCGCTCGGAGCGAGAGTTGCTTTGTTGCAGTTCGACGCGGAGAACCCAATTAATTTTGTTTGATCGGCACTTTTTCCAATTTTGCTGCCGTTTATCGCCTCCCAATCCCTTCCTGTATATCTTTCTCATCGAAGGTAAAGTTAAAGTGTGGTCCACTTCGATCGGATAATATGCGCGATATATATATATATATATATATATATATATATATATATATAATATATACGAAGTGTCCTGCGATAGAATGTTCATAGTTCAGAGTTAAACTTTCAGTCGATAATTAAGGTAATTTTCCAACTAATCCAGTGTAGTTTCGATTTATGGATATTCTATCGCAGGCTATCCTGTATATCGGATGTCGTATAGTAACGCGAGCACTTGTGTCGATCGTTCGGCTTGATTGAACGTACGGCTATAATCGTAACATTAGCGGACAGAGAAGCTGTTTTTCGCGATCGTTATTAGCTCTCCTGGGAAGATGAATGTATGAACGAAGGAAAATAGACGATGGAATGTTGATAGAATCGCGAGAACAATTTATTTCTTCTCGTTGATATCACGCGCGTATGATGCAATTCAAAATTCGATATAAATATCCTTATCAATGGTGCAATGTTATTTATTCGCAATCCGCGTTTTGCCTTTTATTTCTACAAAACTCACGGATATGCGATCCTTGAATTGGGTCGAGTAGGGATTTCGTCGGATGGACAAAGCGATTTTACATCATACAAATTTTTTTCTACAATATAACAAACGTTTTAGTTTGCGGATTAATTCGGGCGATATATATTCGCGATTCTTGTTATTGAATATGTATCGATTATATAAATATTATAAAAAAGATTATACTGATAGCCGTCAATTTATTAGCAGATTATTTATTAATATAATGCAATATTATGTGTAATGCAATATATATATGTAGAATTGTAGAGAATCAATATTTACATTTTCAAATGAATTTAGTTAAAAATTTGTATTTTATACTTTAAGCTTTGGAGTTTCGCAATTTGAGAACAAGTCTCAACAGTAAATCACTATGGGACATGGGGACATAAGGTAGACGTTGAATTGAGAGTAATTCTCAAACGGTATCCATTTGAAAGTGCAACCCCTTGGGAGCAACTTCTGAAAGCAAAACTCTCGCGAGTAATAGATAGGAAACATAAACTAAATAAGTCTTAATAGCAACATTTTTACGAGACTCTTTCCATTCATACAATATCTAACTTCATAAATTTTTCTTTGTCGAATATAAAATTTGTTTTCATTAATTTTTTTTAATTAAATAAAATGCCAAGTTTCTTGGAAGATGGATTAATCATACGCATTGCTATAATTAAGATTCTTTTCACTTGTGCAACAAAAACAATTTTTATTAAATAGATTCTACTTAATCGTAATTAATTATCGCGATTTCGTGGAAACAGAATTAATCGAGAAACGTTCGGAACTTTGTTTAAATAACAGCGTGAAAGAGAAGACAGACATTTCCAACGATCGTATTGATCTTAGCGATGCACTATTTATTAAATGATGCCAGTGACAAGTTCATTGTTTATTCACATCCGCTCTTTGCTGGAAGCAGCCATGATTTTCTTAGCAAGCGTTATATACAAGTGGTGGCATACGTGGATAGATAGACGAACGAGCGGAGACAAAATGATCGCGGGAATGGAGGTAGGATGAGAGGAAGAAAAGGACAACGCAGATGGAGCGGCGGGTGACGTGGAAGCCGAGTAGAGTTGAGAGCTAAGTTTTAATTAATGTAATGCAGAGTAGCGCGTGATTAGCTTCCCAATCAGCAAGCTCCTCCTGCCACTACTGCGGCTTTGGCTGGAGAAGGACGAATAACGGAAAAAGAGACAGAGATAGAATTTGTGACAAGAAGATACGACAAGAAGCACGGAAATGGAGAATGAAAATAATTGTGAAAAATTTGAATAAATCATTCGCGAAATGTTATCAAATTTTTATGCGCGAGAGAAAATTTTTTTCTCTTTAAATATATGTATGGTTATAAAATTATCACCTAGTGTAATATTTTTATTGTTAAAAAAAACTACGGAAAAGAAACATGACTAGGAAGGAAAAGTGAATTTTTAATCAAAAATACACAATTGTTCAATGCAGATTACGATGCGTCAATTTGCGCGAACGTTAAAGCTAAATTGTTGGCTTAATATACATCTAATTATGCATAACGTTCTACATTAATGGATAATAGGTATAGGTGTAAGCGTCATAGTTTGTTTGTTGTTGGTAACATGGATGTTATCAAACTAGCAGTAACTTGTTTATCTTAAGATAACTAATCTAGCGAATTTCGAATACCTAGCTGAAAGTAATTACGAGAAAATTTCCGCGAGAACGAACATTTAAATGCAAAAAAAACATTATATATTTATTTATTAAAATGCAATCGCGAAGATACGTTTACTGCGCGCATTATATATTCCATCAATCGTTACTTCATAATGAACAATCGGTGAGTAAACATTTTACAACACGAGTTCGATATATACGGCATGTCAATTAATTGATTTACGGGCAACGATATTTATGAAGCGTGATACACTATCCCACGGTTTTCCCGTTAATACTTTTGTTCGATTCGACCGATCGTGTTATTTCTCACCGTGACAGGTATCGTCGTGATATTCGTCGACCCGATAATAGTTTCGATCGGGAACAGACTGTACGATACATTGCGCTCGACCGTCAATTAACGGTAACCGATAATCCAAAATAATGACAGGCGATTGCAGTTTGCGCCGCGCGATAACTGTTTGTCGATTTAAAAAGCGTAGAGAGGATCTGCAATTTGTTTTTATATTGCATACAATTAAACTCATCTTGTGACAGCAGTATCGTTATTGCATCAATGAATATAAACATGGGGTGAAGAATAAAAAAAGGAGTGGTACAGAATTAAATTATAAAAAATAAATTTTCAAAGAAAACAAAAGAAAAATTCGGAAATTATCAGAAAAATAAATTAGAATATTAGAAAAATAAATTAGAATATTAGCTTACTATGCAATATATCGAATTATATTTGCGATATTTACAAAATGTGGGCAGTAGTTGAGCAAATATTTAAAAAAAAAATAAATAAAATTATTATAATTCAATTTTATAATTATCGCATATAATTTCAAACGTTTCTCTCAATTTATCAAGGAGACTTTATGCTCCAGCAAGATTATTGTAGTTATATTAATTGATGTTATAAGTGCTGTGGGGAAAATCTAGCAATTACATAATTAATTTTCCCACAACACTAGATGCGAAATGGGTTTATTCATGTTAGTTCGATAATAAAATTGGTAGTCGACTGTCATTAATCCTTCTTAAGCGATAAAGTAACCGACACGTTGTAATAATGGAGTATTAGGTCTCATTATTGTAGGATAATTGGAAAATGGTGAAATGGCGTGGAAGATGTAGGTTACAGAGGTTACATATAAATGACGTGGACGAGTACAAGATAATTGAATTGTGCGTCGGTGTGAATTGAAGCCCGAAATTTATTAACGAAAGTTTATTAATTCATCATCATACACGGTTTTTAATATAA